GACTTCAGGATCATCGACTTGTGACTTGATAGCACTAAGAATACCATCATTGAGTTGAGTATATGTAAACATGCTTTTAGTAGCTTCAGATATAGTCAAATGACTATATAGTATAGTTGTAATTATGACATCACAGCAATAACAATAATATACCTGTCACCATTTCTGATTATTGGCTTTTCATCTGATTTGACCAATATCCTTTTTATCCTGATAATATTGATTTTAAAATTGAGTAATAATGCAAACACTTACATTATTGCAATGATCCTGTTCTTGCGTAAATAATACAATTCTCTGTGAAGGCTATGACGAGTTTTGAATAAGTCATTGTATGTCTCTAAATCCTAAAATGGTATAAATTTAAGCTTAAAATATTAATTTTAACATCTTTTTGAAAAAATATGCGTTGTTCACCATTCTCATTTCTAACTTCAACTTTACTAAGAAAGACCCTGCAGTACATAGAAAAACATATTTATTCAAATGACATGTACAACATGCTCACCTCCATTTGAAATTAATATTCATTCCCAATACAGCAGCATCACGTGTTGTGTCGTCAATCATACACACATCTAAACCACTTGTCTTGTTCACTACAATCTATAGCATTCACTAGTTAATAAATAAATAATGTTTACTGCTATCATACTTCATATAAGAATTCCTTGCCTTTACGCTGCCCCTATTTTATTGAGAAAATAAGCAAGGACAAAACAAAAATTGATTTTTTGGTAATTAAGTACATGTAAATTTGACATACTGTTCTGGCTCCATGTATAAGTTCTTGAATGAATTCAATATCTGCTTCATAATTATCCAGAAATTCCTTTAACAAATTCTTCACATCATCATTCTCTTCAATCATGTGATCGAACATCATAACAGATGCTTCTGAAACTTTCTGTAATTAAAAAAATTGTGTAAAAATATAACTTTTACCATCTACCTCCCAAGGTTTATTTCCACTTTGGAATACTTCCTTGAGGAACAAACCAAAAATGTGAGAGAAAGGACCATGACCCAGGTTATAACAAAGAGCAGCAATTTGTACACACAAAACATCAGACTCAGTAATATTCAGCTCAGGCTGTCTCCTTTGAAGTTGCTTTACATATTCTCCAGCAAGATAATACATTCTATGAATATGATACATGTATACTACCATAAAATAAATCTTACCCAATACTATGTTCAAGTCTTGAATAGGTTGACTTTGATATATTTTGGTATATGTAACCTACATTTATGTATAATTTTAATAAGTTAATTATTGTAGATGTATAGTCTAGAGTTCACCTAATTTTTTGATATCTTTCAGTCTTTGAAATTGATGTGTTTTTATAATTTTTAAAATCAATGGATTGTCAATAATGATGTCACCATAAATATCGTCTTGAAGTATCTATGATAAATAACTAAAATTAACAACAAAGTATAGTTAGCTTAAACTTACAAGATTATCTTTGCCTTGTGAAAATAAAATAAAACTATAAAAGTTAATTATTTGTCAAGTAAAACCTACTTCTCATTAGATTCTCAATTTTCAGCATTAATGCTTCTTCTTTTTCTATTAAAAGATTTACTTTAAAATTGTATTAAACGTGTATATTAATTACCCTGCACTTCTTTATCTCTTTCAATTTGTTGTAAGTTCATTGCCGTTATTTTCTCTTGTAATAATTCTATTTCTTTCTTACTTTCAGCTAGTGATGTTTTACATTGTTTTGAATACTCAATAAGTTATGAACTCTTGGTTGGACTGACCTTGCTCTTGCTTTAATTCTTTTTGTAGTTGCTCTGTCATTTTTTCTGCTACTGACAATTTTCCTGTGGACATGATACATGTAGAATGATTTAGTTTTTGACTTAAAGTGAAAATACTTTTTAACTCTCCATTTTGTGATAGCAAACCTTGTACTATCTTATCTCTCACTATGAGTATAATGACATAAAACTAGTGCACAAAATTTTATTTACTTCCATCTTTATCAGTTGCTGACTGTAATTCCTTAATTTCTTCTACAAAACTTTCCTCTGCACTTTCCTTCTGTTCCTGATAGGATGCTGACTGTATTTTGAGCTGTTGTATTTCTTCATCATGCTTTTGAATTTCTATTGTCTCCAATAAAGATCTTTCTTGTATAAATTCTGTACAATAATAATAAATTGTATTAAAAATATGAATTTGTTTATGCTATTTGCTTCGTATTATCTTTTTCTATTTTTTCTAACCATCAATCAGTTATAATCATGTATAATTATGTTACCTTCTTTCTCAGATTGAAATAAAACAAGCTGCTCTTCCAATAATTCTTTTATTTCTTTCAACTTCTCATTTTCCTACAAAATAATGTTAAAAGTTGTGGCAATGAAATAGTTCAAATTCTCTCTAACTTCTTCATGTTCTGTTAAATGTGATACTTTCTCTTGTAGTA